ACATGTACTATCACTACGACTACTACTAGTACTACTTCTAGTACTAGTACTACTACTACTATTACTACTACTACTCCTACTACTACTACTACTACTACTACTACACACTACTACTACACTAGTACTACTACACATACGATTACTTGTACTACTGTCTAGTATCATTATTCTGTGTACGACTGCTACTATTACTGTTGTTTCTACTACTACTACTACTACTACTACTACTACTACTACTACTACTACTACTCCTACTACTACTACTACTACTACTACTACTACTACTACTACTACTACTACTACTACTACTACTACTACTACTACTACTACTACTACTACTACTACTACGACTACGACTACGACTACGACAACACGTACTACTACTACTCTTACTACTACTACTACTACTCCTACTACTACTCCTACTACTACGACTACTACTACTACTTCTACTACTACTACTACTACTACTACTACTACTTCTACTACTACTACTACTCCGACTACGGCTACGACGATTTCTGCTTTATTTCTATTTCTACTACTGATACTGCCACTACTACTACTACTACTACTACTACTACTACTACTACTACTACTACTACTACTACTACTACTACTACTACTACGACTACGACTACGACTACTACTACTACTCCTACTACTACGACTACGACTACGACTACGACTACGACGACGACGACTACTACTACTACTACTACTACTACTACTACTACTACTACTACTACTACTACTACTAGAACGACTACTACTGCTACTGCTACTACTATCATTACTACCGCTACCGTTTTTTTCTATTACGTCTACGACTATGGTTACGGCTCTCGCCATCACTATTACTAGTTTTACTACTGCCAGCACTACAACTACTGCGACTGCTATTATTGCTACAACTACTACCACTACCACTACTGCTGCTATGACTATTATGCTTTATTCGTACTCGACTAGTACTAGCAGTAGCCATCCCCACACTTTGCGACAATGGCGATCGTCGCCGAGCATAACGAGGGCGAGCTTGTTTTACTGGCCACCAAGCACGTCGACGACATCAAGGTAGAAGGACCACACCCGGAAAACGGCAAAGTTGCGTCAGTGTTTGGAGAATGCTTTCGGTAAAGATGATCCAGATATCAGTGATGGAACCTTCGCGTTCTGTGGTGCACGTCGCTCCCCCACGCACGACGGCGGTTATGAGCCTGACGAGACTGAGTACATTCAGGATTGGAGCCCTAGAGGAAGCGCCGAGCTCATTGGCAAGTCTAACTCCGAACGCGCCTCGGATAACCTGGCGAACTTGTACCTCGGCTTGCTCCTGGCACTAGCTTGTGTTTGCATCCATCGGGCGAGCTGGCCTGCACGTTTGCGCGGTCGCACCTCAGCGCCACACCGCGGCGCCAATGTGTGGCCGCATTCGGAAGTTCAACGCGCCTGCGATATGGGCGCAGACCAAGCCACTACAAATCCACTATCGACGTAGGCGCTGCGCAAATGTATTAGACACACACAACGATGCAGAATTCAGAAAAGAACAGAAGAGGGCGCCGACGCGGGACGGGTCCTGCAAGGAGCCACTTTCCTGCGCATGGGCGCCAGTGGCACGGACTCCCAAAGGACATTCGTTGGCAGACAAACGTGCCACCTCCTGGACTGGCAGTGTGGGGCATTCAAAACTGTAACACGAAGCGCCTTCACATGTGAGCTGATGGCCGCGATCAGCTCAACGGATCACGGCCTCGTTCTGGCCACCGCGCTCCACGAGGTATTCAAGGGGCCCCGAGGCCCTGAATCAGCACGTCGCCAACGAGATGGTTCGGCATTACACATTGAGCTCTGCCCGGCCTCCATGGGGGTTGTCACCGCCGTCGCAGCTGCGAGACCCAAGCCCCCCGCAGAACGCTCACAACTGCCGCGTGTGCTTTGGTTCCACGACCTCCGAGCTCGGGCCTATTCTGGGCCCTGAGCTGGGAAGATACTCGAGACGTGATCGCGGGCGGGTCTACCAAAAGCAGCACCGACAGATCTGCATTCCACGACGTGGTCGGTTGCTGCCGCCTGCGGTCACGCATGCATCGTTCACCGTCACCCTCGCGCTGGCTGGCAGGCTCAGTGTGCTATGAGGCCATGGGCGCCAGCCGACCTCTGACAAAGAACAGTTATCAGCGTGTGCATGTCGATTGCTCTGTGCTCCATCCCTGTTGAAAGCAGCAGTCCTTCCTCGTCTGCATCCCTTTCGGAAGGCTGGTTAGGATATATGTTGCAGCGCGGCAGTTCTAGGAAGGGCACGTCGAAAAAGGGGTCTCGTCGTCGCAGTCTTTAGCAGGCGCTGAGGCACCACGCGGGCGCGCGCGTGCACGGGCGCGCGGGGGAAGGAAGTCGTCGAAATAGTCATGATAATCAGTAATGAACGTTCATGATGCCGCTGCCGTTGTTTTCAGAAGCGGGCTCGCGTGCCGCCCGCCCAGAGCGCGCTGGCCCGCAGTTTGTGGCTCGCGCGCCGACGGGCGTGCGCGCGGGCGCGCGTGCCAGCGTGCCTCGAAGTGAGCCGCAGGAGCGTCCTGGGCCGCCGCCGCCACGTCGCCGGCGGACCATGCCCGCTGCGTCGCTGTCGCCCGCGGAGGAAGTGCCGTCGACAGATGGCGTGGCGCTCGCGACGTCCGCAGGTCGAGCCGATCCGCGCGCTCGCTCTCCGACTCCCCCTCCTGGCACATGGTCAACCTTTGGCAACCCAGCTGCTGGGCCGGTCATGATCCGTCCTGTTGACGCGCCTCCGACGACGCCTCCACCAAGTCAGGAGCAAGCGCGTCAGATACAGCGTCAGTTGCAGCAGTTCAAGGAGGGGGGGTGCGGACAGCTTTTTACTTCAACCTCATCTGCCCCTCGAGGTCCCGTTCGGGCTCAAAAGAGTTCGGCCCCGCTCTCGCCCGCCGTCTCCCCGCATGCGCCGGACAGCTGCCGCGTCCTGCGCGCGGACAGCCTCCGCGCCGACTCCGCCAAGCGCCCCGCCGCCCCCCGACGCGCCGGCCTCGGCGCTCGCGGAAGATGCGCGGGCCCCTGCCTTCAGTCAGAGCGACGCTGGAGTGGTGGAGTTCATCGAGAAGTGGCGCGTCAGCGACCCGATCCTCGAGGCGTTGGTGCGTCGCTGTTCTCAGCGCGGGTCATGGGGCCAGAGTTGCGCGCAGGTGTCGCCCGCGAGGTTCGCCGGGCTGTGGGCTGGCTGAAGACCCGCGGCCGTTGCGCGACAATGGGCCGCTCGACGTGAGCGCGGTCATGCGCGCCGCCGAGCAATGTGCCGCGCGGGCCTCGTGGGCCGCGCCGCGGAGGGCTGGGCGCCGCCGCTGCTGGGCGCTCGCCAGTGTCGGCTCGTGGCCAGGGTTCGGGCAGGGCCCTCTCTCGGCCTTCGACAACTCAGTCCTGGGCGCGTCTGGTTTCAAGAGCGGCCCGCTAGGCTCCGAGAGACCAGCGCCGCCGACGCCGCGGCCATCGCTCTCCCCGGCGCCTCGGAGCGAGCGCGCGCCGCGCACTCCGCCTCGTCGGCGTTTCTCATCCGAGATTCCGCCCAGGACCCCGTCTGTGCCCCAGGACCGCGAGGCGGAGTTCGACGAGGGTGGCGCTGCTCGCGGCTCGAGCTGGAGACCGACGCTGTCCCGTCCTTCGGCGCCGCGCCCGTTCTGGGTGAGGAAGGAGGCCATGGCGCCCATCGGCTCTCGCGGGCTCGCCGCCGTCGCGTCGAGCAAGGGCAAGGACCGGGGCGTGGGCGAGGGCAATGGCGAGCCCGCGTCAGAGACCGACGCCGACCCGCCGAAGAAGGGCAAGACCATTAATAGTCATGAGAAGCATACTAATAACAATAATCATATTAAGAAGACGCATAAAACGAATAAAGAATACGAAAACGACTAATATTAAGAAGTCGTAGTATGGCGGAGTCATAATATTAACCAGAAGAGTCGATATACGAAGCATAATATTACGTCGAATACTACCATTTTAAACACGAGTGATAATCATAAGAATAACGCGAGGACGCACAGGGCAGGGGGGGGTTCAAGCTCTGGCGCGCCAGCGCGGCCCACCGCGCGGCTGCCGTCGGCGAACCAGGGGCCTGACGCCCATCGAGGGAGTGGCCTACGATCGTGGACGGAGCGTCTCCCGCATGTTGTGATTGCGGTGGGCCTCCAGGGGATCGTGCCGAGAAGTGCGCGTTTCCTTTGCGGTCTATCTCCATGCATGACCTTCTCCTATCTACCAGGTCAAGGCGCCCGCGCACATCCATGTCGCCCTCCACGCGGCCCTGGGGCCATCACTCTGTCTAGGGTTTAGGACAGGCTTTCAGACATCACGTCTGCGGCCCGAGGTCACCAACATGCACAGATGCGGCCTGGGATAACGCACGCCACCATCACTCACGCGCGTGAGCTCATCCAGTGCCGCTCTGCCCGCGAAAAAGCGCGAGCCCGCCTCCCGCCGCGTCGCGCGCCCCCGGGTCAGAGAGCGAAGGTGTATCCCTTCTGAATCTAGAATGTGCTGGGGTTGGGCAGTTGTGGTTCACTTCTTCCTTTGTCTTTGTTCCCCGCCGGAGATGTCCGATCGCCCGCGCAATCCATATTCGAAGCGGGCGCTCTGCCGCCGTTCGGCTTCAGCGCCTGCGCGTACTTGTGTGACGTACGGAGAAATTGCACTGCAATCGTCATCTGATTACCGCCATGCTTTTCTCGTGCAGGTTCCAACCTTTGCAATTCTAGTTCCTCCTCCTCCTCCTCCTCCTCCTCCTTCTCCGTCCTCCTCCGCCTCCTGTTCCTCCTCCTCCTCCTCGTCCTTCCTACTCCTCTTATTCTGCCTCCTCTTTCTGCTCCTCCTCCTCCTCCTCCTCCTCCTCCTCCTCCCTCCTCTTCTTCTTCCTCCTCCTTCTCCTTCTCCTCCTCCTTCTCCTCCTCTTCCCTCCCCCTTTTCCAGCAGCCCTGCCCTCTCTGACCGAGGCGGCGACTGCGCCCGCGCCGCCGCCCACCTGGCGTCTCGCGGCCCCGCCAGCCACGCAGCTTCCCTCGCCGCGCCGCGCGGGGCCCGTGGCGGCGCCGCGGGAGGCCCCGCGGCAGCCTAGAGGCCCTTGGCGGGGCCTCGTCGTTGCCGTCGTGGTTGTTGCCAGCCTGCTCCTGCTTACGGGGCCCAAGAATATACACCACGGAAAAGAAGAGGAGTATGGACGAGGGAGGGGGATGGAGGCGGTGGTGGTGGATGGTGGTGGATATTCAAAAAAACCTCTTCCCTGGTAAACAGGTCCATTCCCCAGTGAACGGGTCCACTCCCCGGTTATAGATCAGAGAGTCTTGAAGTTTTCGAAGCCTTACAACCTTTCCTCCGGTGCTCGTTGGCAGCTTGTGAGGCGCTCCTTGGCAGCTTTTACCGAGCTGCTTAGCAGCTTTTACGGCGCTCCTTAGCAGCTTGTCCAGCGCTCCGTTGCAGTTTGTAGGGTGCGTTCTTAGCAGCCTTTGGGGCGCTCCTTAGCAGCTTTTACGGCGCTCCTTAGCAGCTTCCAGCGCGTTCTTGCACTGTTTAAATCGAGTGTGCGCAGCGCTAAGGCGAGAACCACATTTTGAAAACGGCCCGCCCTCAATCCGTAATCCCCTGGCAATTTTTTAGGATTAGTGTACGCAGCGCAAAGGCGAGAGCCACATTTTGAAAACGATCCGCTCTCATTCCGTGAAGGTCCTGCAGATGTTTAAAACGAATGTGCGCGGCGCTAAGGCGAGAGCCACTGTCACTTCAAAACGATGGCCCCCCAGCACAGGATGGTCGGGAACTATGCGACGAAGCGTGGGAGTGCCCAGGAACGTCCAAAACATTCCAGAACTTGGGGCTTTTGAGTGGATATTCCAGAGGGACCTGAAGACAATCCAATCAGTGCTTACGGTGCGGTGACGGATTTACGTACTAGCCGCTTACATTGAGGGTGTTGGGTTGCAGAGTGAGTAGGTGAGTTGGTGAGTGACTTACGAATGACTGGTTGACTGACATGAGCCGACTGAGTGACTGTTTTGACCCCGAGTAACTCACCTGCTCTGCGCTCCTTCATGCATTCGTTTACACGGTCCTTCGCTCGTTCCTGAATATCGGCTCCACTCGGCGCTCTGGTATTCCATTGCTCGGACGCCCGCTTGCTCGAACGCTCACTCAATCGCGCACGTAACCGCCAACGGGCACGGATTGACTCGTAAGTGCTTCAGGAACGGACGAAGTGCTGGAGGCCAGCCGCTGTCGCTCTGTGCCGGTCGCTGGTGCCCCAGAGCATCTCACCTCGGAGGGCACCAACTATACACCAACACCGATCCTGGCCCAGGATCACCCTGGGCCTAGGATCGGTGTATATGCCTTCTTGCGCAAGGCAGGAGGGCGTATACACCGATCCTGGGCCCAGGGTGATCCTGGCCAGGATCGGTGTTGGTGTATAGTTGGTGCCCTCCTATCACCCCCGTCCAAACTTTAGCCATCGTCGCTTCATTCACGGGAGGCTCGTGTCGTGCCAACGGCGGTAGCGACCCCGCGGCGGGCGTTCGAGGTGGAACGCCGCCGGTGGCCCGGCATCGGCCAATCTGGAAAGACCTGGCGATCGAACATCTGCGGATAGTTCAAGGTTGAACGATCCCACGCGTCTGTCTTCTTTTTTTTTTTGAATTAAAAAAATATTAAAAAAAAGAAAAACAAACGATCCCACGCGTCTGTCGGGACCCAACGACGGGGTCGTCAGGACACGAACCTGCCGTGCTGTGCATGACGTGTCAGGGAGCTCGTCCAGGAGTGTCCCGGGCGCTGTGGCGCCGAGAGGGGGAGGGCGGGGTGGAGCAGGAGGGGCACCACGAGTTCGTGCCGTATAGATTTGAGGGCACCGTCACAGGCCAGTGTCGGATTGAGTGCCCCCGTGCATCGATCATTTTGCGTGTTCTTGCTCCTGCCAGGCTTCGCGGGAGGAAGGAGGGGATAGGGCATGCGGCATCTGTCGCCCGCTGGGGAGGCGTCAGCTACACGCCGACACCGCTGCTGTCCAGGCCCATTCTGGGCCCAGGCACCTCGAGGAAGCCGACCACGCCAGTCGTGCAGAAGTTTGCGGACGCCGCGGGGGGAGGGGGGGGGGCTGCCGCTCGGATGCTGCGACTGAGGCGAGTAGTCCATGGGGGGCATTACGCGTAGCACCCGTTCTCGAACATGGCCAAGTGGGCGATCGGAGCACGAGGGTACGCGCACGGCTCCCCTGAGCCATTCACCCCTGTCGCAGACCTCAGCAGCACGTGTGGTGGCCAGTTATGCAGGCTGCAGGAGGGCAGGGGAGCGAGGCAGACGAGGCAGGTGGAGGCCTGGAGTGATGCGGGAGATGCGGCTGCCAGCGGCGGAGAAGGCTGGAGGAGGTCGCACGAGCAGGCTGGAGGATGCGAGAGGTGCTGATTCCCCTCCCGTTTCTCCTCTTGGCCTTTTCCTCATGATCGTCCTCCTCCTGGCTGCGTGCCCGACTTCCCCGTATGAGGCGTGTGCTGGCTTCTACTCGGGTCACAGATGATCGTGCTCCTGCCTGTCTTCGTGTTGCTATGCCTTGCGCTGCTATTCACCTTCTTGTTCCCCTATCACGTGTTCGGCATCAGAGTGAGGGCCTGACCCTCCCGAAAAGGGTTCGCCTTTTCAATAAGTCGCCTTTTGGCCACGCTCGACCTTCCTCTTCAATTTCTCTCTCCTCATGGGACGCGGCGCGCGAACGAGTGAAGCGTCGCTCGCTCCGCGCCCCAGCAGCTTTTCCCTCCGAGCGAGTGCACTTCTGCTTGGGCGCGGCACAATTCGTTTCTGCCAGCGGAGGGGGGCCTACCAGCCTCGACCTATCCCTATCCCTACGAACGGCAAGCCAGAGGCGCTGACAATCTGAGGGATGTGCCCTGAGAAACTGAGGGAACCCTTGCGATCGACACCGAGGCAAGGTGATGCCAAACATGCGATGGGGATCTGTTTCGGTGTCGACCGAGGGGGGAAGTGACAGGGAGAAGGACTCCTCAGAAGGTGGCGGGACTCCTCACAGGCCCCCGGGACTTCTGAGAGGCCTTCCGTGCCTTCGGGAAGGGCTCAGAGCACTCCTCAGCAGGCCGGGGGGGACCTCCGAGCCTTCCGAGAAGGCCCGCCCCTCCTCGCGCCCCCCCTCGGCTCGCTCGCCGCCGAATGCCTCAAGCTGGTGCGGGGCACCGCCCGACGGAGGCGCCGTGCCGCCCTCTCGCGCCGCGCCGCGCAGGCCGCTCCTCTCTCGAGAGGTGCGCCCCCGCCCGCGGCGCGGCGCGTGCTCCTCGCCGCCTGGCCGGGCCTGCGGCGGCGGGGCTCCGCGCCCCCGCGCCGCGCAGGCTCCTCCGGAGGTCGGTGCTTCGACGAGGGAGGGGGGGCCCTGAGGACGAGGTGCCCCAAGCGAAGCAGACTCAGCTGTGGATGCCTTCCTGCCCGCGGGCCCCCATCCCTCGGGACCCCATCGTTGAGTTCCACCGATGAGTGCTGCATTCCCGCACCAGCGCGGGGCATCATCTCGCCGCGGCGGCACCCTCCTCGCCCTCCTCCCCAGCCTCGAACTCCTCCCCGTCCGCCTCCTCCTCCTCCTCCACCTCCTCTCGTCGTCCTCCTCCTCCTCCTCCTCCTCCTCCTCCTCCTCCTCCGTAACCATTTTGGCTCAAGTCGTACCCCGCCCCGTCCCCCCAGCCGTTTTCGTCCGCAGGGGTTCTCGGGTGGCATGACTCCGCTCGCCGTCATCGGCGCATCGCCGTCCTGGGCGTTCAGTGGCCCTTCTTCTTCATGAGCGGCTCCGCTGCTCTGGACACTACCCGCAGCAAGGGCACTGGCTGGCGACAGCGGACACTTCTAGCAGCTGGGCGGCGTCGTGAGCGCGCCGTCGCTCGCGGCTTCTTCCGCCCGTCGGAGTGCGTCGGCACCGCCTTCGTGCAGGTGGACAGCACTTTCGAGTCGGACGCGAAAACGATCATGGCAGGCAAGGTGCTTCACTGCCAGCGGGAGGCTCAAATTGGTGTTCCGACGCACTCGGCGCGGGATGCCTCCCTCGCTGCATGCCGCTCCAGGCACACCGACCGCGAGCAGTTGCGTGTCGACTCGCGTGTCTGGAAGTTGGCCAACGCTGCCCATCACAATTCGTCGACTCGTCAGCTGAGTGTGCAACGCGTACGCACGGCATGGGATGATGTTGAGGACAGCGGCGGTGACTCCCCGCCGACTCCACGGCGCCCATGCGAGAGGACTCTCCTCCGCCGGGCTCCTGGCTCGCCGCTCCCGCGGCGCGCTCGTCCAGTACTGCTGGTACGCCTGTCGCCGACAAGTCGGCGCTCTCCATCGACTCCTCCATGCAGACGGAGGACGTGCCGTGCTCGACCGACTTCCTCATTCCGTACTCGGCTCAGTTCCTGAACACGCCGAGCGCGCTTCGCCACGTCATGGCGAACCCCGTCGTCGACTGCCCCATGTTCGAGGGCCCTCCAGAGCAGGTGCACGGGCTGCACGCGCCGATGCCATGGGGCACGCCAAGCGAGTTTCCCTACGACCTTGACTTCGAGTGCGATCTCTCCAAGTTTCGGGAGCGTGCTGCGCGTGAGTGGCCTGCCGCGCATCCTGGTGGCGGTTCGCCTCCCATACGTGGTGACGCTGCCGACGGTCTTCTGTCTGCTGGTACTGCTGCCCTGTCCGGCGGCCAGGCGAGTTCCTCCGTGGCGGCAGCTGTCGAAGCTCGCGGTGGAGCGGATGCCGGTGCTGATGTTTGTGCTCTCCATGGTGCTGCTGCCGATGGTGCGGGTATTCTTCACGAGGAAGCGGGTCAAGACTCAGGTGTGGATCATCGTGGTCTGCGGTCGGCTCTGCACGAGCCCTGTGCGGAATCTCGAGGGCGTGCCGACGATCCTTCAGGCTCTAGTGTCCTGCCTCCTGTTCCTGATGGTGCAGTGCTCCACGATCGCGTTGCGCGCGTCACTGGAGCCGAGCTTCCAGATGCTGCTGGGTTCGATGATCGTGATCTCTGGAATGTTGGCCGCGACTTATGGGAATTCGGCCATGTTGTTGGGCATCGCCATGCGCCGACGTCTCGGCGCCGCACGGGCTCTACGAGTGCTTGGGGCCGTTCGCACCACCACGTCATTTCTCTGGTACCTGGCTGGTTGCCGACTCCAGGAGCCTCGAGCGTGCCGCCTCCTTCTTTTTGGCCTTCGGGGGCGGACTTGGTGGCTGTTGGGCGCTGTGACGTGCACACTGATGATACTTGCGAGGATATTCCTGCTGTTGGGGATGGTGGCTGCGTTGCCGGTTCTGCTTTAGCTTAGGCGCGTAGCAGCTACCTCGGAAATTCCAGGGAGGCGCTTCAAGCAGCAGTTCATGGATGACGTTGCGTCGCGTACTTACCAGAGGGCTATGAGCAACCTCGCTCCTCAGAGGCGCTGGACAACCATGCGGACTGCTCTCGAGGCATGCCAGTTGGACTTCCCGCCTGTCGCCGTCATTAAGGCGAGGCTCGTCTCCGAGCGGCGGCGGCGGGCAACCTGTTCTGGGCTGGCTCCGTCTTCACCGCCCGCTGTTCCTGCGGAGGGCCGTCGCTATCGAGAGGGACCTCCGCCTGCTCGGTGAGTGTTGCGGTGTCGCGCCGCCGTCCTCTCCCTGGTCGGCGAGGTGGCAATGCGGGCGGCGACGGCTGCTTTTCCCGACCTCTCGGCGGTGGGCCCCACTTAGGGGACCAGATGCGAACCCTACCCCTACCCCCCACGATTTCTGAGGGGGAGGGTGGGGTTCACTTCGTTCGGGAGCTCCCGAGCTGCCATTGCCTCTGCTGCCCCTTTGGGCGCGGAGATAGAAGCTTCTGACGTAGGCTCCGCGGATCCCCCTATTCACGCTGGGCCCCGCGGGCGCCTTCACCTTCACCAGCGGCCACTTGGTCGTCGACGCCGAGGCTTTGAGAGGCTCCGAGGCGGGCGCGTGCGAGGCGGGCAGGTGTGCACATCTTCCCAGCGTCGCTCGCTCGTCGTCGTCGTCGTCGTCCTCCTCCTCCTCCTCCTCCTCCTCCTCCTCCTTCCCCTCCTCTTCCTCCTCTTTCCCCCCTCCGCCAGAGTCCCGAGTCCAGGGCCGTCGCAGGTTTTCGCTTCGGCACCGCAGGCCTCATTCCCCTTTTCCTCCTGCTCCTCCCCCGACGACAATTAAGGACCCAACCATTGCAGTAGTGATGGCCGCAGTTGTGGGTATCGTCTTCGGTGGAGCTCCATACGGGCCACGTGACGCTGTACTGGGTGGGGCAGACGCATGCGAACTTTGCCACGGGTGCCTTCTGTGCAGCTCTCTATTGGCCACGAAATGCTGTGCAGGATGGGGGAAACGCATGCGAACTTTGCCACTGGGGCCTGGGGTGGAGCTCCCTATGGGCCACGTCAAGTTGTACTGGGTGGGAGAGACGCATGTGCGCTTTGCCACTGGGACCTTCGGTGGAACCCTCTATGGGCCACGCCATGCTGTAGTGGGTGTGGGGAGATGCATGTGAACTTTGCCATTGGGGCCTTTGGTGGAGCTCCCTATGGGCCACGAAACGCCGTACTGCGTGGGGCAGACGCATGTGGACTTTGCCACTGGGGCCTTCGGTGGAGCTCCATATGGGCCACGTGACGCTGTACTTGGTGCGGGGGACGCATGTGAACTTTGCCACTGGGGCCTTGAGTGGAACTCCCTATGGGCCACGTGACGTTGTGCTGGGTGATGGGGGTCGCATTTGTACTTTGCCATTTGGGGCCTTCGGTGGGGCTCGCGTTTTGGCCACGAATCGTTTGACGGGTGTGACGAAAAGGTGGACATGTGGAGGGCAAGGGGAAGATGATGGGAGGAGGGAGGAGGGGGAGGAGGGAGGAGTGAGGAACGTGGGGCGTTGTCGGTTCAAAACGAGGAGCCAGTACCACAGGATGGTTGGGAAAACGTGCCGCCGCGCCCTTGGAAGCCGCGTCGCAGAGCAGCAGGCAGTGCCGCCCTGCTTCGGAGCGCGGGCCCTCTCCCGCGGAAGCTGCCCTCCCGCCCGGCGCCGGCGCGCCGTTTGCGCTGCCGAGCCGCCGGAAGTGGGGCCGCGCGCGGGCGAACTCCTGTTGCTCGCCAGGCGGAGGCGCGGGCCGTTCCGTGTTTCTCGGGAGGAGAAAAAACACACAGACACAATTCATCGCCGATTCCCCAGAAACTATGGGGAGATATGGGCAGTTTGGGGGGAGGGCAGAAACCCAGAACATGTGAGAAAATATGGAGAATATCTTTATTGGTGTGTATTTATTTGTGTGTGTGTGTCCTGGGGCCCCTTCAGTTTCGTGTGCTATGGGCTATGGGGGAGCAGGTGGGAGCGGGCGGGGCCCGCCGATTCGCGCTGGCTGGGCAGCTTGGCGCCCACTCCGGGGCTCGTTCCTCGGTCGGTTTCTCCTGCTCCTCCTCCTGCTCCCGCTGCTGCTCCCGCTCCTCTCCCCTCCCCCCTCCTTGCAATGAGGGGGTCCTGAGGAGGAGGAGGAGGAGGAGGAGGAGGAGGAGGAGGAGGAGGAGGAGGAGGAGGAGGAGGAGGGAAGTGGGCCCTGGACACCGTGGCACTCCCCAGGACCAGCTTTTCATTTCGAGTCCTTTTGTGAAAGCCCCGAGGCTTGGGAAAAGCCTCGAGAGGCCCCGAACGGCGAAACGCCTCAGGACCACTGACTCTCCGCCCCCGAGATTCGACGCTGCGGCGAAATGGCAGCACCATAGAAAATTGCGACTGGAGCAGTAGATGCCGTCATCATGCGGTATTTTTGAGTCGTATGGGTACGTGATGGTCCTGGGGCCCGAATGCAGGCGACAGCGCCCGGTGCGAAAAAAAGTTGCAACGCCCAGGGCTCACGGCTCTCTTCCAGGAAATCCGACGCATATTTTTCCAGTGTTGTCAATGCCCATCGGTCGTTGGAAGTAGGTGTTTTTTGGATTCCCATATTCCAATTTACTTTCAAGCGCCTTCCTACTTCAAGAATCGAGGTGCTTCCCCTCTTCCCTCCTCTTCAGGGGGCGGGCGGAGACCCAACCTACTTCCAACGCCTTCCTGCCTCATGGTTCTACCTACTTCTTCCGACCGATGGGTACGGGGTCCTCAGAAGTGCCGACCCTTTTGCCAGGGCTTGCTTTTGCATCCTCGGTCGTCTTCTGACGGGCCCCCAGGCCAGGCGCGAACGAAGGACGTACGCGTACATGAATCCACGCTGGTTTCGAGCGTGCGCGTGGCGCGAACGTTCGTATCACGAGGCTGTTCTCGCGGACCGGGGGGTCGTAGTCATGCACGTGGTTGGGCGCGCACGTCTTCTGTGGGCTCCCCGCCAGAGGCCGAAAACAACGACAGACCTCCGTGTTGAGTTTCTCGATGCGTTGGATGCCTGGGCTTCACCCGCCCTGTACAGTGCCGTTTTTAATACCTGCTCCGCGTGCGTATCATGTATTAAAAAATGCAGGGATTCAGTATTCGAAACAACGATGAGTTCATGCATACATGTATTCAACATTTAATCCTATGTTTGTCCTGTGTATTTAAAACCTGTATAAAAAATCATAACTGTGTTCAAAAGCCATAAAGATTCATACATGTATCCTGCCTTACTCCTATATTCTCGGGGGTGGACAGAACCCCCAATAGTGACACGTCGATTAGTGAATTGTCCGTTTTCGGTTTTCGAGTGGGCGCCGTGGCCGTTATTTTCCAGGCTTGCGCCCGCCAGGTTTGGGCCCGAAGTCGTTTTCACTAAACCACGTTTTACTAAAGGGAGGTCTGTCCATCCCCGATATTCTTAGATTCACAAGTGTGTTTAAGATCATATATTTTCAAAAAAACATCCTATGTATTAAAACCTGCCCTGTGGCCTGCGCCTCGCCTCCCCTCGCGCTCGCGAAAAATAACACATACCCCCAAACTACCCCAAAAAGGTCAAACATATTCAAAAGATAGTCCCCAGATTATTCTTGGACTATTTTTTGACGAATATATATATATATATATATATATATATATATACATATATATACACATTTTTTTCGTCGAAAATCCCCCCTGTAGGGGGACAGGCCCGACTTGGGCTTCGCCTCCCCTCGCGCTCGCCTACCCCCCTCCCGGAGGAGCTGTGCGGCACCCTCCCGGCGCTGGCCGCGGCGCGCGCGCCGTCCGCTCCGCGGGCGGGCCCCTGCTGTCATTGGGTGGGTGGGCGGAGGCAGGGCCCTCTGACTCCCTCCTCCTCCTCCCTCCTCCTCCTCCACCTCCTCCTCCTCCTCCTCCTCCTCCTCCATCCTCCTCCTCCTCCTCGTCCATCCTCCTCCTCCTCCTCCTCCTCCTCCTCCTCCTCCTCCTCCTCCTCCTCTTCCTCCTCCTGCTGTCGGGGGTGGACAGACCTCCTACCCTGACAAAAAAAAAGACCTCCTACCCTGACACGTCGATTAGTGAATTGTCCGTTTTCGGTTCTCGAGAGGGCGCCGCGGCCGTCATCTTCCAGGCTTGGCGCCCGCCAGGTTTGGGCCCGAGGCCGTTTTCGCTAGACCACGTTCTGCCAAAGGGAGGTCCGTCCATCCCCGAACTCCTCCGATTCGATCCGAAGGCCCTGATGTTTTGGGAGGTGGGCGGAGGCAGGGCCTTCCAACTTTCTGTCGGGCGTGTCCCCCTACAGGGGCATTTTCGACGAAAAACCAAAGATACCCCAAACATAGTCAAAACAAAATAGGCCAAAAATAGTCTGGGGGCTATTTTTGGAGCATTTTTGTGTCTTTTTCGAAAATCCCCCTGTAGGGGGACACGCCCGACATAACCCTGATGTTTTGGGAGGTGGGCGGAGGCAGGGCCTTCTCGCAGGCCTCGAGATTGCCACCAACACCAATATCGGCGGCGTGCCTCCACCGAGGGATGAAGTTTCCGGTCTCGGTGATGGTGGTAACATTTTGGCTTCCCAGGTGGCCGAACCATTACCACCAGCACCGAAATCTAGGATCAGCTTCCCCCTGTGGAGGCAACCCCCTGTGTTGGTGTTGGTGCCAATTTCACGGCCTCCAATTCTAACTTTGTGTCGGGCGTGTCCTCCTACGGGGCGATTTTCGACGAAAGATCAAAATTATCCCCGCAAAGCAACCTAACAGCGATGTGTATAAGCATATCTGGGAGCATTCCCCTTAAGATTCAGGTGAGAATCCAGTTGTAGAATTCTGCTGTTCTCGCAGTCGCAGTCGCATTCGCAATGACAGTCGCAGTGGCAACGGCCTTAGGATCCAATGGAACCCTAAGGATTCCTAGGGATTCCTAAGGCATCCTCAGGCATCCTTAGGAATCCATAGAAATCCTTAGGAAACCATAGGAATCCTTAGGAATCCTGATTCCTAGGGATTCCTAGGGATTCCTAGGGATTCCTAGGGATTCCTAAGGATTCCTGAGGATGCTGAACTATGCCTACGGATTCCTAAGGATGCCTACGGATTCCTAAGGATTCCTAGGGGTTCCTAAGGATTCCTATGGATTCCTACGGATGCCTCAGCCTGCCTCAGTTTCAGCCTTAGCCTCAGCCTGCCTCGGCTTGCCTCAGCCTCAGCCTCAGCCTCAGCCTGCCTCGGCCTCAGCCTCAGCCTGCCTCAGCCTCAGCTTGCCTCAGCCTCAGCCTCAGCCTGCCTCGGCCTCAGCCTGCGTCAGCCTCAGCCTCAGCCTGCCTCAGCCTCAGCCTGCCTCAGCCTCAGTCTCAGCCTCAGCCTCAGCCTCAGCCTGCCTCGGCTTGCCTCAGCCTCAGCCTCAGCCTGCCTCGGCCTCAGCCTGCCTCGGCCGCAGCCTGCCTCAGCCTCCCCTCCTCCCCCCCCCTCCCCCCCCTCTCCCCCCCCATTCAGCCTCACCTTGTCTCAGCTTCGGCCTGCCTCGGCCTCATCCTCAGCCTCAGCCTCAGTCTCAGCCTCAGCCTGTCTCGGCCTGAGCCTGCCTCGGCCTCAGCCTCAGCCTGCCTCAGCCTCAGCCTGCCTCAGCCTCAGCCTCAGCCTCAGCCTCAGCCTCAGCCTCAGCCTCAGCCTCAGCCTCGGCCTCAGCCTCAGCCTCAGCCTCAGCCTCAGCCTCAGCCTCAGCCTCAGCCTGCCTCAGCCTCAGCCTCAGTCTCAGCCTCAGCCTCAGCCTGCATCAGCCTCAGCCTCAGCCTGCCTTGCCTCAGCCTCAGCCTCAGCCTCAGCCTCAGCCTGCCTCAGCTTCAGCCTCAGCCTCAGCCTGCCTCGGCTTGCCTCAGCCTCAGCCTCAGCCTGCCTCGGCCTCAGCCTCAGCCTCAGCCTGCCTCAGCCTCAGCCTCAGCTTGCCTCGGCCTCAGCCTGCGTCAGCCTCAGCCTCAGCCTGCCTCAGCCTCAGCCTGCCTCAGCCTCAGCCTCACCCTGCCTCGGCGTGCCTCAGCCTCGGCCTCAGCCTGCCTCGGCCTCAGCCTGCCTCGGCCTCAGCATGCCTCAGCTCGGGCATTCAAACAATGGCACAGGACTGGTGTTCTGGGAAGACGAAGAACACGAAGTGGCCCACAGTTGGCTCCGGGCAATCAAAATATGGTACAGGAATTGTGTTCTGGGAGCACGAAGAACACGAAGTGGCCTACAGTTGGCTCCGGGCAATCAAAATATGGTACAGGAATGGTGTTCTGGGAGCACGAAGAACACGAAGTGGCCTACAGTTGGCTCCGGGCATTCAAATTGTGGCCTGGGAGTTGTGTTCTGGGAACGCGAAGAACACGAAGTGGCTTACAGTTGGCTCCGGGCATTCAAAATGTGGCCTGGGAATGGTGTTCTGTGAAGACGAAGAACACGAAGTGGTCTACAGTTGGCTCCGGGCATTCAAAATGTGGCCTGGGAGTGGTGTTCTGGGAAGACGAAGAACACGAAATGGCCTACAGTTGGCTCCAGGCATTCTAAACGTGGCCTGGGAATGGTGTTCTGGGAATGGATTCCTGGGGCTGAGCCTTTTGTCCGGTTTTGTCCGGATCCCGCCCAGACCCCCCTGGGGCGTCAAGATGCTCTCTTTTGAGCCCACTAGAAACCTGGGGCGTCAAGATGCTCTCTGTTAGGTAAATACCCCCAAAACAATCAAAACTTAGTCCAAATATAGTCCAGGGGCTATTTTTGGAGTATTTTTGGTCCTTTTTTGGGGTGTTTTTGAATATATTTTTTATGTTTCGTCGAAAATCCCCCTGTAGGGGGACACGCCCGACATAACCCTGATGCTTTGGGAGGTGGGCGGAGGCAGGGCCTTCTGACTCCTCCGATTCGATTCGATTCGACCTCGATGGACTCCAGTTCCGCGTCGGCTTTGGATCCCGACGTGGAAGTTCCGATCTCTCTGCAGGCCTCGCTCGCCTGCCGAGTTCCGCCGATCCGACCTCTCCCGACACGGGTGCCGATTTCCGCCGGTCCGACTCATTTCGATCGCCGATCCGGCTTATCGATTCGATTCTGGGCTGTCCTGAGGAAGGAAGGGGGAGGAGGTGGGGGGCTTACAGTCAGGAGCTTTTGGACACCGTGTCGCCGCGCCAGTTCTGGCCCACCACGCTTCGGTGCGAAATGCTATCCGCTTCTCGGCCCTTCGCCACGAGTGGGCCCCTGAGGCGGCAGCACGCACCCAAGAGGCCCCCAAGGGCCTCCAAAGAGGCCCCAAGAGGCCCCCACAGGGCCCACATGAGGCCACGAGAAGCTTCAACACTCGTTCCACGAGGCGCGTATCCAAGGATCCTCTGGCCCAAAACTCCAGCACAGTAGCGGTATGGGCCGAAGGCCATACATATGTAAGCAAGCGGTTTGGCGACGGACCCATTCCTATGCAGCCGTGTGTAGCGCAGTGCGCGGGTCTCTCTTCATACACTGCGCGCCGCGGGGCAATGCGGACAAGACGGCTGCTGCGGAGCATGCGTGCATAGGTGCGGTGAATTCTTTGTGGGGCCCGATCCGCGTGAAGGGTGTGCCGAATAATTCGGATGCCCCCGCGCGAACGCGCCCATTGAGGCCGCAGGTGGACCTCCTCCACGCACGAGGCATGTTCCGAAATGGGCCGGGGGACGCCATGCGAAGTGGCCCATTGGTGCCATAGGTTGAGCTCCTTCTGGAGCATGGTTCGCGTGACGAGTGTGCCGACATGGTCGGGGAACGTTGTACGAGCCTTCTCTGTGGGCCCTCAGGTGGCGTTCATTGTGGGCACGGTCCGCGTGATGGGGCGTGCCGCAATAGCCAGGGGGGGCGCAGTGCGAACCCTGCCTAGAGGGCCATAGGTGGAGATCCCTGTGGGCCACGATCCGTGTGAGAGGTGCCGAAGTAGACGGGAGGGCGGGATGCGAACCTTTTCTCTGGGGCCGTCCGTGGAACTCCTTGGGGGCCACGATCCGTGTGAGAGGTATGCCGAAGCGAGCGGGACGACGCTAGGAAACTTCACTCCGGTGCCGCAGATGCAGCTACTTGTGGGGCACGATCCGCGCGAGATGCGAGCAACTATGCGAACCTTGTCTCTCTGGACGTGGGTGGAGTTCCCTGTGGGGCGTGATCCCTCTGAGGGTTGTGCTGACAAGGACGGGGGAACACTAGGCAAGCCTGTCTCTGGGGCCGCGGGTGGAGCCCCCTGCGGGGCAGGACACGTGCGACAATCCATTTCTTCTGGTGCCGCACATGTAAGACTAACAGCTAAAGCTTGCTAGAACCACGCGCGCGCGAAGCGCGCGCGTGTTTCTAGTGTATACTTAATATCATACTTACGTGTGTCTAAGTGTTGGCCATCGTGGGCCCCAAACAGTGTGTTCCAGCAATATCTGGTGTGCAATCTTTGATGTGGAAAAATGCAGGGCAATCTATGTGGTACACTTGGTTTTTACCCATGATTTGACACACCCCATGTTCTTGCAAACATCCCACCCACCCACCCGCAACTTGGTTTGCAAAACCTCTTAAGACCGTGATGGTAGGTACCACATGGCACTTAGCAACGACACCGACGCCGACGACGACAGCGACGTCGACGACGACGACGACGCCGACGACGACGACTACGACGACACCGACGACGTCTCCAACGACTTCGGCGACGACGACAACGACGACGACGACGACACCGACGACGACGACGACGCCGACGCCGACGCCGACGACGACGACGATGACGACGCCGACGACGACGACGACGACGGCGACTCCGACGACGACGACGA